GCTTTGGTAGGAGGGTTGCCTTAGAAACTATTTTACGTTGCCATCTGATAGGCTTAATCCCTCTGCCCTCCCCTGCCCTGCCCCACCACCACCTTTCCAGCAACGAAAATGAATTGTTTTACTGGAAAATAGAGAAGCCTGGAAAGAGAAAAAGAGACCAAGAGAGAGAACATTTTTAATATCACAAGAAAGCAAGCTCCAGTTTTAGAGGAAGAAGCCTGTTTAAGATAGAGGAAAATTAGTTGATATGGAAACACTAAGATTGTGTCTGAAGGATCTAGGCCAAAAAAAGACAGTATCTACTAAAAGAAACCTAATGAGAGAGAGACTCCCTATACTCAGGGCTTAATGGCTGCACCACAGAGTCAGCCTCGATATGGTTGTTTCTTAATCATCTGCATTAACATATAACACATAACATGCAGGGCCAGCAGGTGCCACGGTGGCTAAGGCATTGGACTCCCACATGGCCAATAGCTGTTCCAGTCCTGGACCTTGTGACTTGCTTTTCTACTTTCCTATCTCTCTCTCTTTCTCTGTCTCTTTCTCTGGTGAGTATGCATGTCCTATAGCAAATTAAAATAATAATAAAATTAAATAAATAATTTTTTAAAGTTAAAAAAGCATGCAAAGTGTTAGCACATGAAAATAAGTATTAGCACATGAAATCAAGTCTGGGCACATGGGTATGACTGTCAGCCCATGAAAGCAAATGTGTTAGCTCGTCAAGAAGCATGTCAGAAGTGTCGCTAACGTAAGCTCAAGAGTCTAGGACTTGAAGTTATACCAAAAATGGGCATAACGTGAGAACACGCACAGCTGGATCAGCACATAAAGGTCAGCTTTGGGGACATAAAAATATTGGGTGGTCAGAAAGCCATTTTTGTACAGAAAAACATAGAAAAATGTATCATGGCTTTTCTGACAACCCAATAAAGTGCCTCTGCCCAAACAGGGAGAATTCTGTTGCTTGATGTGAGATTTTACTGTTTTTCTAGTAAGAAAATGAGGATATGTCACCAAAAGCAAAGCCCCACCCTGTTTCCCTTAGTTACATTTAACTTAGCGCTGTTTGTTGGGCTGATTACTCATTCAATGCCCAACTTGGCCCCACTGATATGTCAGCCCCACTTGGGCCCACTGATATGTCAGCTCCACAAGGGATTCCCCAGTGCCTGGTGCAGAGCCTAGCACAGAGATGCTTTTTTTTTTTTTTAAGAATTATTTTTTATTTTAAATTTATTTACTTGTTTTTTTTAATTTAACCAGAGAGGGGCAGAGTCAGAGAGAGAAAGAGAAAGTGAGAAAGCAAGCCACCAGGTCCAGGACTTGAGCTGCAATCAACTATGTGGGGGTCCATGCCACCTGCCAGCTCCTAACACAAGATGTTTAATAAACGTTTGTGAGTGAATGAATGACAGCGACAAGAGGAGCCTTCCAGGCCCAGCTCATAAGCAGGAGGTCAGGTGCCTATATTCTAGTCCCACATGATCTTGGTCCCCTCCCTGCCCCTAAATATGCCCCCAAACCCAGTGTATACAGTTTTTCTGGCCATGTAAAAAATATAAAAACAGAGGTAGGTAGACCAAATGTCCATAAGCATGGCAGCAGCATGGCAGGGTCCTCTAATGTACCCAGTGAGCTAAAGCTGGGGACTGATGGACTCTCAGATTTTATATGGGAAAAAAAAAAAAAGCTAAGTTCCCAGATTCAGTGAGATTATGCCTCTTTTCTCCATGTGAAAGAAATATGGCAGTCCTCAGTTTGCCGCATCCAGTCATCTCCATTTGGCAGGCTCCTGACCTCAGCTGAGAAATTACTCAGGAGCTCATGACAAGAGCAAACCTTCACCAAGAAAAAGAACCATGTCTCCATCCACGCAGTGTAGAAGGAGCAGTCAGTTTCCCCTTAGATTGAATACAGTCATTTATAAAGCACTGTACAGCACTCAACAGTTTGCCTATAGCTGCTGCACAGTCAAGCACCGTTACAGACAGTGCCCAACAAAAGGAGATTGGTTATATTCATTTTGGCATGAGGAGCTAGAGAAAAGTCAGACAGGCATCATAAGTGAGCATTAAAGAGACAGATAGCAATGAAAAAAGCGTTCATGGGATGAAAGAGCATTCCAAATTGGATCAGTCTTTCTATTAAAACCACACAAAATCACGGGCCTAGTAACAAGGCATGAAGGGAATGCAGAGAAATAAAAACACCGTCTAGCATGATGGGATTATAGATGAGCGTTTTTCTAGTGTCCATTGGTATTTACACTATATTATCTAATAATAAGATGAGTGGATGTCACCGAAAGCACAGGTAACAAAAGCAAAATAGATAAGTGGGACTATATTAACCTAAAAAAACTTCTGCATAGTGAAGGAAACACTTGACAGAGTGAAAAGAAAACCTACAGAATAGGAGAAAATGTTTGCAATTGTATATCCAATAAGGGATTAATATCAAAATACATAAGAAACTCCTACAACTTAAAACAAAACAAAACCAATAAATGAAAACATTACCTAGTAACAATGAGCAAAGAATTTGAACAGACGATTCTTTTTTTTGGGGGGGGGGGGTTTGCTATAGGGCCCGGGGGGTCGCCAGACA